AACTTTTGAACATGAGAGGTTTCCAGTACGGGAGCAAAAATCTTAGCGAATTTGAAAATCTGGACATCAGAATCTTTGTGTCGTCCAGGTTTTTGGGCCCTTTCAATTTCTATCTGTCGACTGAGAATTTTTTGGCAATCTTCAAGGGTGAACCAAACTTCTGGGGTGTGCATGGCAAAGTCTTTCAAGTCCTCATCCACATCGGAGTGTTGGAAATCGTTGGCGGCTCTGTCTGGCTCATGGGCATCATCCTTTTCGCTTGATGAATTTTCAATGTCTTCAGCGTGGGCTTCAGCCTTGCTCTTTTTCAAGGGCTTAGTTTTTGCAATTCGTTGGAGCAACAAATTTTGGCACGCAAAAGAACATTCCATAGCTGCAAACTCTTCAAGTGTCAGTTGGTCCGGATGGTTGCCAGATTGACTGCCTAAGTAGCCACATAACAGCTGATACACGGTGTAGTCTAGGGCTTTGTGTTTCTGCACCAGCATCTGCATCAATGTTAGCTGAAGCAAATCATGGGTGCATTGTTGGAAATCTGCGGCAGTCGTGTTCCACCACTGCTTGGCAACAGTCGTGTCATGCACAACATGGATTTTGCGAGATTTGTTTGTTTTTACCCGTGCGGCATTGGCATGACGGGTAATTTCCGCTTTTCTGGCTTTCCAGGCTTCGGAGAATCTGTGCCTGTTGGGCGGCAATTCAAAGGATCTGTGCAACATCCAACTCCTTGGCACTGATAGGTTGAAAACAACATCATCATGAATGCAGAGTGGTCCTCCTCTTCTTCCGGCAATGGCAAGTGTGGGCCAATGAGCCTGGGGACCCGCATTTGTATTGAGAAAGTTTGACAATACATTGCTGCTAATAAGTACCCTCCCTTCCGCTCACGTGGACGTGGAGGCCAAAAAACATACCACTAACATGGACGTGCATCTGGTCAAAACCAGTACATTCTCACTAACAAGGACGTGGTCCGCCCAAAATTTTGCTAACAAGGACGTGGTGCATCTGGTAAAAACCATCAAAATTTAGCTAACAAGGACGTGGTCCTCCCAAAATTTAGCTAAAAAGTGTACACTAACATGGACGCTGCAAATTTTCATATTTTGGTAAGTTCCCCGGGAATGACGCCATGGCTGTACACCCAAACCTAAAAACGTCTATGTTAACAAAACATTGAGAACCCTGGATCCCCTCGGCCCAGGTCTGAGATTGGGGCCGGGTCGAAGTTGTGATTTTTGAAGCTGTTTTAACCATTTCTATAAAGGGAAATTAGGCAAAACTGGCCGCCTCTTGCTTTGGAAATGTGCATGGGGAAGTTGCATGAACAAACCCATGGACAAATCCACTATCATGGACGTCCCTGACAAGTACAACGAGCGACAGCAGGGAGACGGTTTGACATGGGGATCCGCCAAAAATTCAAGATCGGTGAAGCTCCACTAACATGGACACTCAAACAGGTTTTTTTGAACAGTATTCAGCAAACATGGACATTCATAGCAAGATTTCTGGCTTCTTACGGCGTCCATGTTAGCTGAATACTGTTCAAAAAAGCTTGTTTGAGTGTCCATGTTAGTGGGCTTGTGACATGTGTCACACTAACATGGACGCTTCCGAAACTGGAAAAAGTAAGAAAAACCACTAACATAGTACGTGCGTACATTTTCTCAATTTTCAGCGTCCTCGTCAGGATACCGGAGGGTAATGTGAGTCAAAGGGAAAATGAAGCATATTTTTTTGAAGCGTTTTTGGCTTGGGTACGCGACGCACCCTGGAGGCATAGACAAACCACGACAAACTTTGCAGGAAAGGCCCCCGGTGCAGCCAATCGTCGTGCAAAGAAGATGTGGTTTTCAATGTGGCTGTTTTCCAAACACCTGTGCCGGGTTCATTTTCATCCTCTGGGTCCTCATCATCAGTTCCACTGTGGCTGCGTTGGCCATCAACTGGAAAGTTTTTATCATTTGACCCGTCATCAGCAGCAGCACTTTGAGGCACATCATCAGCATCAACAGGAGGCGCATCATCAGCATCAACAGGAGGCGCATCATCAGCATCAGGATCGCAATCAGCAACAGGACCAACGTCCTCCATCTCGATTTCCACAAAATCCATTGGAACCGAGGCTGGCTCAACCGTGTGTCCACGTGAACCTTGCAATATTCTTTTAGCTTCGTTGATGAGAAACCAAGTACGGGCAAGAAACAAAGGGATCTCGTTGTGGCTGGGCCAACAATGGCCTTCAGTAAGTAGAGTCGATGCCAACTCGGTAGTGGAAACCCAAGCACAGCGATTGGACGCAGCCGCGAGCCGCAGGGTTACCCGCTTTGCCCTGCATTTTTCTTCAAATGGTTGCTGGCCAGTTTCTTCTTCTACTTCGAGCCTTTTCAATCCCAAAGCTAAACAAGAAACTGCGTTTTGTAGATGTTCCATGGGTTTCGTAGCGTACTTGGTTATGTAGAAATCGGTATTAAAGGAAGCCACGTGCATAGCCACGATGTTGTATGCGCAGCGTCTGATTGTTTCGCTCATTCTCGTTTCAAGCAGCTTGCGTGGCACATTCAAAAGAGTGGGGAGTAAAGAATTTTCACACTTAAAAATCGGGGCGTTGTCTTCTTGATTTGCAGAAGGATACCCGCGCACTACGAATTTAAAGTCGCAGTTACACCTGCACGAGACCATAGTAACGTCAGAAGTAGCAGATCGAAATGGATGTGCCCGAGGCACGTGAACCAAGCCGTGTTCATTTGGATCTTCAGATGTACCAATGAAGGTTTCTGATTGCGGTCTCTTGCCTCTTCGCCTAACCCGTTTGCCGGCAAAGGCTGCAATATGGAAAAAGGAGAATCGACAAGCTGGCGCTCGATTTGATTTTAACAGTTTCCTTTTCTCTGCCATTGTTTTTTTGATATTTTTTAAGCATGTAAATGAGCAATGATGGTCATGACAATGGCAGTGCAAGAAACGAAAGTCTGCTGCGAAAGCATGATGCCATTGTTGGGCTTCCAAGCACAAAGCGTCACATGATACTTGCAGCCCGTGTTCATCCACAATGTGTTGCACCTCGCCGGCATCATTACTCTCCAGAGTATATTTCGCAACACCTTCATAAACATTATGCGAATGGGTCACCATGTGCATGAAAGGTGGCAATCTATAATGGGGACAACTGCTCAATTCAGCGGTGGTCAACGGAATCTCGCGGTAAGGGTTTCTGGGCAATGTGGCGTGATCTCCTGACATCTCTGTGGCAATGTGTCGCAAATGTTCTTCGGGCACGACTTCAACCAATGGCCTTTTTGTGATCTGGTCTGCTTCAAGCAAACCATCAAATTTTGTTTGTTTTTGTTGCTGGATTGAAAAAGGCTCAGGTGATAAAGAGACAGACAACTGCTGGCCTGGCAAATTGGCATTTTCGTATTGCAACGTTACAGCTTTCTGGCACAAACTGGAATTCTGACTTCGAAGAAATGTTTCCAATTTGTTGTCGTCCTCACCGAGATGCTTTGGCCAATCTAAAAATTGCGGACCTGGCACTGCAACAGTTTTTCGGTGTCCATGTTCAAATCCTCTTCCCTGTGCCTCCAATGCTTCCAGCACAGCAAGTGCAAAACCAGAAAGGCCCGGAACTCCGGAGGATGCAAAATCATCTTCTATGTTAAAGTGGCCGAGCGAGCGATGCAACCGAAAGTTTCCCAAGTACATGCTGTCTATGCCTTGCAAGTGGCGGAAATTCAATTCTTCCATGAGGAGGAAAAATTTAGCGGTGCACATTGGATGAGAAGTGGTTAGCTCGTGCATCCTTTGCAATGTTGGCATCTCTGGCGCTTCGCTGGTGAGGTCAAGGTCAGGCTTTTCACAAATCATAGGCCCCTTTGGAGCCCAGGCAAAACGAGCCCTGGGTTCCAGACACTTTCTCACATATACCAGGAATATTGAAATGCTCTTATTTTTCACTATTTGTACCTTATTTTTCTTTATTTGCCATTATTTTTCCTTATTTGTCACTATTTTACTGCTGGTTATTGGTCATTATTTTTCTCTGTTTGTGTACATTCCCATGGGAAACACAACAGCTGTGTTGCATGATTAAGCCTATCCCCGCTGCTTGCTACAAGTTTGAAGGTGTTGAACACCGACACCAGAAGATAGACAGACAAATGACAGAGCGAGAAAACAATAACCCAACAAAAACGAAGATACATAATTTTCTTAAGAATACCAGTATCCAAAAAAATATTGGAACATCATTGAATCATCTGGGCAGGCATAGTTAGAATCAAACAAATAAGATCAAAAATCAAGTGTTTTCAATCCAACAACCCAATGGCAGTGATCACTGGATGAGAATGCCATGGATGTGCCCGCTGATGATGCTGGTGCAAGCACGGGCACCGCTGCTAAAAGGCCAAAGATCAATCAGGAATTTCCTTTTGGAACTGAGAGCTACCTGTCATAGACAAAATCACTATATTTTTTTGGGGGGGAGCAGTAACAAAATAGGAAATAAATTCTACAGGGTTCTTACGATCATTTGAGTTTTAGTTCGCCTCACTGAGGTTTTTTGCAAGTGGGACCAATTCCATTGACGGGCTGGAAGTCTAAAATTGGCAATATTCAATGTCAGTGGAGCATCCAGCAACTTTACCGGGCATTGAGATTGTCAGTTGAAGACAAGGACAGTGATCAGGACAAGTGCAAATTTGCAAACCTGCCCAAAGGAGAACAACAACGTAGAGCAAGACTCTAGGTGGAACAATCACTTTTTTATAGTGTCCATCTGAATTGTTCAAGGAAAATATAATTTTGAATTAGCAGCATTATTAGGTGGAATGGCGTAAACATGTATCATTATGATTATTATATATATAATCTGTTTCAACCACTGGTAAGTATACTCTGAAAGCAATATAAAGCAATGGTGGTGTGGTTTCGTTTATCACTCTTGGCCCCGCCCAGGAAAGTGGAAATCCAGCAACTTGGACTCGTGGCACAAAATGCACAGGCAACTTTGGCAAGGCATTGATGTACCCACCTTACTTGTACCTACAGCCTTGAAAAAAGGTGAGGGAACTTCAGAGGAGCAAGGGTTTTTTGTCGAGAGTACGTTGCCCACATCGCTTTTGCTCTCGGCAATTTCTGCCCAAATTACTCAAGGCAGAAGCGGGTCGCAATTCCGATTTGGAGCTTCAAGGGTTTTGTTTGAACTTTTGAGGAAACTGGTTCGAACAAGTTACATGAAAGTCCAATTCGAGTCACAGGGCAACAGCTTTAGCATACCCATTCCTACTAATGGGTTGTTTCCGTCGGCAACTCTGCTTTCTATGGTTGGAGTGGACGTCGTGCGCAAAACAAGACAATTGTGGGATGAAGCAGTCCAGGACAAATTTTGACAAACATGACACAAACAGTTTTGTTTGGTTTCAAATGGTTCAATTTCTTTTGAAATCATTTTATCCAATCAATGTCAGTCAGTCAGGACCGTCAGAAGACTTGGATATTTGGTTCATGGGGAGATTTCATTGACTGGTCATCCTTTGTGGTCTTCACGCTTGATGTGAACCTTGCCAGCTAACTTTTGATTGTTTTTTCACGTATGTCTATGTCATGCATTCACCCTAAGTACTAAATACTAAAGTAAAACAAAACATGTCACCTGCCAAATTTCAATTTCTTAAAAATAAAATCCAGCTCTTCCGAGGAAAAGTCCGAGACAGTTGAGACCCATTGGCTACAAACTGATAGCTCAAGCTGCTCTTGCATTAGTGCCCTGGCCAAAAAACAACAAATAACTAGCTGTCACATTGATGGTTCCCAAATCGAAAGGTTCTCTTGAATCCTTAGTATTCATTTTGGATTTATTTTATGGTGCCATAATATGGCTATTATCATCATTACTACTATTTGTTTATTTCATATGCAGTTATCGACCATTGTGGGAATTTAGTTGAATGCCCAATCTTCCCCAGGACTCCCTGTTTGATTCTGTGACTTCTTCGAGTGCGAGAAAAACAAGGACACCGCTACGCTTCTTCTCAACAAAGGTCAATCCTTCCACCCTCTGGGAGATTATTCAAATGGTCAAGGATCACACAGAACCTCGCTGTAATCAATTTTGGCTGATTCATTGTTGCAAACAATCCCATGGAGGGTCGAACACCAAAGTTTTTTGGGATATTAGTTCTGAAGGTGCTGCGTCATGTTGCCTCTAACTTTCGGCTGTGCTGGACCACCAGATCAGCTAGCAGCCAAGGAACACCTTTTATCCAGCGCTTTCAAGAGAGTTGACAAGTTCAAGGACGCTGATCAGGCTAAGATTTCTTCGCAATGTGCCTACGTTTATGAAAGGTATTCTGTTCCTTGGACAAACCTGCCGAAAAGAAAGTCGATGTGAAACCAAAAAAGAATCCATGAACACCTCACCCCCTAGGATTGTGACCAAACATTTGGATACCCTTCCCAGTCACAAATATTTCAAGTTCCATAGGTTAGGTGCCTCTACACGCCACTCAAAAGCCAAGGCTGCCTACTTGCGAGCCGCTCAACGAGAATGCGGTCCTGAAATTCACCGGCATGCAGCTTGATTTCAGTTATTTTTCTCACCGGGAGGAATCATGACAACATATCACAGCAGTTTTTTTCACAGCTGCTACATGAATCATTGAAACACATTACAAACATGTAGGTCTAAGTTACAATTCCTTTTCAGCTCAGGTTGCTTTCGATGGAACTTCTATAGGGAAGGCTCCGTTGGAGGGCTACGCATGGCACTGTCACTCAGCTTATTATTAGCTGTTATGCTCTTCTGGTCCTATTCTAAGATCAGAAATTAGATTAATTAGACGTGAACGCATCATTGGGAAACAAAACATTATTCTAGTCTAGTCATGGGCCCTTGCCAAACTTTAGATTTTCCACTCCCTCGGTTTTTACTCATGTCAGGTCCTGATGTGAACATATCCTGCTTCGCCCCGCCATTAGTAACTAGTCAGCAATGAGTCAATGGGTTTCAGTGGTGGGAGTGGCGCAGTGGTGGTGGAAGTGGTTTCAATGGGTTTCAATGTGTCAGCTTTGCAGTTGATTTATCTTCCTATTTGTCCTCCTATTCTTGCCCCAGGCCCAAGAAACACGAGTTGATTGATTCAAACTCGTTCCGTTAGTAAGCACTAATATGAAAACTATTTGTTCAATCATTAGAACAGTTTGAACCAATCATTTTTTCCAAGTCCACAAAATCAAAGCAAGAATCCATAGGGTTCCATTCAAACAATCCCATTCCATTTTAGTCTGTCCGGCCGTCCGATGGCACAATGGCTGACGTCGCACTGGATCTTTGGTCCGATGATGACCATCCAGTGGCGGATGGTTTAGACTTGTTCAACATTAGTGAGGAAACATCTTCTTGTCACAGATCTTTGGCCCTGTCTGTGGAGAAAGAGGCTTGGTTGAGGGTGTTATTGTGCCCCACTTGAATCCTGCTAAAACATTGGTTTAAAACATTGTTCACTTAATCCCTAAAATCAGAAGAAAGGAAATTTGGTCAAACCATGTTCTTGAAATTGAAATGAACAACGTTTCCCTGAAGGAAGCATCATGGAACCGTCTCGGCATTGCTTCTAACTCCGTTGCAGTTGGATGGAGCATTACAAAGAAGATTGTACCGAACATTCAGGCAAGTGGCTTTTGAACTCCAAATTCATTTCTGTGTTTCTTCTTCTGATCAATAAGATTGGCATATGTTTTTACAAGACCGACCATTTTTAAAATGTTCATGTTGTTATTTTTTCCATGTATGATGGGTACATTCGATAATTTAAAATGCCCTTCCCACAGGACTCCTGGCTGTACCGTGGCAAAACGGCTTTCTCGATGTGTAGTGGTGCTGGGACTGCAGAATCGGCTCGGGCAGTCCTGCAAAAGGTTGTCATGAAGCACCCCCCGCACAACTGTGAATTGGAGATGGACATCAGAACAGTGGCATTGTGGGATTCCTGTTTGTTATTTATCAGTCAATTGTTTTTAAAGGGGTTTATATTAAAGGGTGTTTTTAACATTTTCTATTTACCAAAGAAAATGTATCTATTCCATTTCCAACCTAGGAGAACGCACCAGCTTGCAATCAGTTGCTTTTCGACAATCACCGCTGGTGCTGTGAGACTACAGGGAGATATCATCCTATGCCCCATTTTTTCACTGATATTTTGACCTTAGTCAAGCCTGGTACTTTCACTCAAACCGATTCCTACGTGAGCAAGAGGAGGAAAATCCATCGGTCAGTACTTGTGGATGCACAGGACTGCAAAACACACTCCTGCTCAGACTCAGAGGTGTGTCGGGTTCCGGACCCCGACTTCGGGTGCAGTGGCTTACCTTGCACAGACATGTCCCGTGCCGGAAAGCAGTTGAAACGTGACGGGCCAACCAACAGTGTTTACATGGCTCATGGGAAATTCTGTGAAACAAAGAAGGTGCCACTCATTTTGATCGAGTGTACTCCGGAACCTTGACAGTAATAAAAAAAAATAACAAGTTCTTTCAATTTCTGTTTTTCTGTTGACTCCCTGGGTTCCCGATATTTCTTCAATGTTCGAACACTGGTGTAATCGTCAGAGTCCATCTAGCCACTCAGGAGTTGGACATGGGGATGGTCCAAGAGACGCACCCTTCCTACGATCTGTATCAAACGTTCTTCAGCACTTCAGATACTGGTCATGGAGGGGCGGCAAGGGACAGAACATACGTGATCGGATCACATGGTGATCGCACCTCATGCAAAGTTGATCCAGAGGAGGTCAAGGACATTATCTCTAAGAGAATGAAGGGAAAGGTCCGAACAGTGCCCTCTGACTACTTCATGGCTCAGCTAGTAGAGGTTGAACTAGAAGCTCAGCAGCTAGCATGCAAAAGGAAAGTGGAATACAAGGAAGGCTGTCGAGACTTCCGGTACTTGCTCACAGAACGTGAAAAGCGGGCATTACAATCCTATGAATCCAGCTACCTCCGGGAATTTGGGGAAGAGGCACACCTGAATCCCAATTTGGTAGTATTCTTGGGAGATAACGGTTCTACGTGGAAAACTTGGAGTGCTAAAAGCAACCAGATCAGTACCTTCCGAAAAAATTCCAAAACGGGACTGTATTGGTCGCCCCATTTGCAGCGCTTCATGGTAGCCCGAGAAAAATTAGCAGCCCTTGCTTGGCCAGTCACAGGAACCATGGCCAAGGCTATGTGTTGTGGACAGATCCCAAGCCAGGACATACACAGAGCCGCTGACCTGGCAGGAAATGCAATGCATTTCACGACAGTGGCCGTAGCACAGCTACTGGCGTTGGCTTGTTTCAGACCTCTAGATTAGGAGAGCAGTGCACTAGGGGCTGTTACTAACACAATGTTTTTAACATGAATTGAGTAACTATACTTATTATTTATTGCTATTATAATTATTACCAGATAGTTTATTGTATATACATAAAGTCTAGATTGAACCAAATCATAAACTGATACTGTAAATTGAATCAACAAACGGAATCAAACATTGATTTTTCCACAATGTGTTCAGTACCAGCCTCACCCGTATGCCAGAATGTATGACCACCCTGATTCAGAATCACGGTGTCAAAGTCAACGACTGAGATTTGTCAGATGCCAAAAAAGATCTGCTTGAGAATGAAATCACGGTTTCACCCAGTCAGTTACCGATTGAATCATGTTGCTTCCTGGATTAAAGCAATACCAGTTGGTCAATTGATTGCTGAAAGACCTTCAACTTACGTTGGCCCATATGTTGTAGATTTTGGTTTTGAGTAATTGAGGTCGAGGTTAGTTAGGGGTTTTCAACCAGACCCGTTCTAGTGACTCGCCTCTTACCGGCCATGGGTGTCCCCATCAAGTGGGAGGGTGAAGACGACATCGAAGAGTCCTCAGTGGAAGAGACAAGTGACAATGCTGAAAATGAAGAAGATGAGGATGAGCAGGAGGATGAAGGTTCAGATTCTGATGAAAGCGAGACCGAGGCACCAGCTAAAGGACGAGGTGCAAAGGCGAAGGCGAAGGCAAAAGCAGGGAAAAAGCCAGTGAAGAAGAATGTCAAGACAAAGGACTCCAAACCAAAGACTAAGGCTAAGAAGGCAAAGGGAAGCAGGGTGAGCAGAAAGGGTGACCAGCAACTCTTCCGTTACAGCTCTTGGCGAGCAGTCCCCGATTCTTATTCATGATTAACTCCATCAATCTTCTCTTTTTTTCAAGTCAGGTATTTACTCTCTAGAATTCTATAAAATAACCTATTGCTTTGAAATATATGGCCCTTTACTACCTTTGAGCCTTTGATTGAAAGGTGATATTGAAAAACATCTCTTGTCGACGGCCAAGGAGAGCCACATCCGAGACTTTCTGAGCCATGCAGAACCACGAGCAGCCAGCAGCATTAAGACGGCAGAGCTGTCAGGTCGAGATCTTCGCAGGGTTTTCTTTGGCTACTTCAGACTCCCACCGGGAAGGAAGCCAGATAAGAATCTCAATTGATGTTAGTGACAATCAATGGGTTTATTTATCATCATCAAGGATTACCATTTACACCTGTGATCACGTATATTATTTATAAATAAAGTTCTATATGTATAATATGTTCTTATTGGTGAGTATAGATGACGATATTCGGTTGTTTCACTGAATCACTGAACATTGACAATCAATGATAATCCAAGGTGTCCGGTGATTTCAAGTCTTGTCATTTGATTCAGTAGGGGTGGTTGATACATATTGATACCGACTAATTATGTCATGTAGCTAAAAGAACCCTAAATATCTCTAAATAATCAGAATCAAATTTGAGAATTATGTCTGATGCAACATTCAGGTTTCGGTAACGCTCTAAAAGCAATCAAGTGTTTCTCGCCCCCGTCTCCACCAAGTCACTCATTGGCCACTGCCGAGGAAGAAGAAAGGCGATATCAAGAAGGACTTGGTCAATGAATATGAAGCCCTGGGCAGGCCCGGCGCTGGCAAGTGTCTTCAGCAAGTGATGCAAGACGTAGAGGATGAGATGAGCAAAAATCTTGCATTTAAGATTGAAAAGTCAGGGAAGTGCATTTGGCTGCACTGTGGAAAGAGGAAGGTCCAGTTGAAAGAGGGGTGGAAATTGCAAATCTTCAAAGAGCCAAGCGGGATTCCGTTCCTCTCCACAGGAAAGGTATCTAAGCGTTGTGTTCGTTTCTTTGATGATGAGAAAGAGGAGGAAGCTAGGACTAAGGATGCTTCAGTGGAAGTGGCAGCAGTTCCTTTACCTGGTGCACCTACCCCTTCAACAGCGGCGCCTTCTGCCACGGAAGCTGATCAAGGTCTGTGTTTTCAAAAGACTTTAGAGGGAAATGTGGGGAACAGAAATTGTGAAGTTAATTCACAATGACATCCCATTAATATATGAGACTAAAAGACAAATATAGAATATACCAAGGTAACAATTTGTTCCTATACTAAATTGGGTTTATTGTTGAAACTTGGATCCCCAAACCAGTCCCAGCATACACTACTGTCAGGTGAGTCAGCCAAGTCTGAGAAGAAGCCGGTGTGTCACTGCAACTACTTTCGAGAGAAGTGCGATGATTGCGGAAAGGGTTGGATGACGGAGATATCTGCTGGCAGAGCTTGCCATTTGGGTGATTGGGAGAAATTCAACATATTTTCCATCCTTACCAGCTGTATGTTTACGGTTGTTTTTTGACCAAATGCCATTTTTTTGATTTTGACCAAATGCCAACTTTTTGTACCATATCAATCAAAACAGAACATGTGTAAAAGGAATCTCGGATTACCATTATCAAATGTTCATCTCTATTTCCATTGACCTGCTTAGGTGACGGAACCGGTCCTGCAGTTCCAGATTCACCGTCCCCATCTTTGCCTGATTCTGATGCCGATGATGAAACCAATATCACCTCAGAAGTGATGCAGGACTGTTTTAAATGTCAGAATTTATTACTAACCACTCAGTCACTCAGAAGTTTCAGGATGATTCAGGTATATTTCAAAAACATTTGCAAAACACCAATGAAGCTCCAATTCCATCCTTTAATCCATGGGACAGATTTGCAGGACTCAATTGATGGCCACAAAGTTTTGAAGTTGGAAAAGAAAGTGTTCCTACTTCGTCGTGGTGACGACAATCCTGACGACATTGAAGCTGCTCAGTTGGACTCAAGCTGCCCTGATTGGAAATTGACCAAGAACACCAATGCAGGAAAGCACCAGAATGAGTTGTTCATCCATTCCCCATCCCAGAAAGCCAAGGCTTGCTGGGTTAACAAGATGAAGTTTGAACCCCTGTCAGAAAGTGATTTCAACGACATCAAGGCCTTTTGCAAAGCTCGCAGGGAGGTAGAGAAAACGGAAGGGAATGAGAAGAAAGCTGAGGAGCAGAAAAGACAGGACGAAGATCACAAGAAAGCTGAGGAGGAGAAGACAAGACAGGAGGAAGATCACAAGAAAGCTGAGGAGGAGAAGAAAAGACAGGAGGAAGATCACAAGAAGGCCGAGGAGAAGAAAAGACAGGAGGAAGAAGATCGCAAGAAGGCCGAGGAGAAGAAAAGACAGGAGGAAGAAGATCGCAAGAAGGCCGAGGAGGAGAAGAAAAGACAGGACGAAGATCACAAGAAAGCTAAGGAGGAGAAGAAAAGACAGGAGGAGGATCTCCAAAAGAAGATAGAAGAAGAGAAGCGCGCCCAGATGGAGAAAGAGTTCAGGGCGAAGTACGAACAAGAATTGCGAGCAAAGATAGAAGGTGAGTATGCAGAAAAGCTGGCCTCACTGCCCTCCAGGGCTGACACTGAGAATGTGCCTGCAGCTATGTCAACCGAAGGGATGAAACCAAAGGATGAGACAAAGATTGAGGCAAAGGGCAAGGAGGCTGAGGAGCATATGAAGGCAGATGAAAAGAAAGATGCTGGAGAGAGCACACTGACGGACAAATCGAACGAGAAGGTAGAGCCCAAAGAGAAGTCGCTTGAAGAACAGAAAAAGAGCCAGGAGGATATCATCAACGCCAACAAGGAAGAAGCAAAGAAGCGAAAGCAGGCAAAGGAAGATGAGCAGCGTGCCGGAAAGAAGGCAAAAATTCCACCGTGATCAAGTCAGGACAGCTAGCAGCCAGGATTGGTGGGCTGACATGGGATAAAAGAATGAAAGGATTCACAAACACACTAGCCAGTTTTGTTTATTCCATTTGTTTTTACCTGATTTTATTTGTTAGTTGTTTCCAACACCAATTTATTTAGATGCATGTTGTAAATGTTCCCAATTTCAGATATTTCACTATTCGATTCTTATGCTTCAATGTTACTTGAACCATTTTCCCCAAAGATTCTTAGTAATTTGTTCACTTTGTAATCCTTTTTTGGTCATTATTTTTTCATAACCTTCATGTTCTCCAGAATGTTGCAATAGCCCACTTGTTTACAATATTCACGTTTTCCCTAATATTTTACAATGTCACTATAATCCATCATATCATATTTTCATGCAGATATTACCCTTATTATTGATCAATATTCCTCCTTATTTCATTCAATATTTACATTTGTTTACACTTAGTTGTCCTTATTTGCTCCTTATTTGTCCTTATTTGCTCCTTATTTGCCCTTATTTGCCCTTATTTGCTCCTTATTTGTCCTTATTTGCTTCTTATTTGCCTTTATTTGCCCTTATTTGCCCTTATTTGTCCTTATTTGTCCTTATTTGTCCTTATTTGTACTTATTTGTCCTTATTTGTCCTTATTTGTCCTTATTTGCCCTTATTTGCCCTTATTTGCCCTTATTTGCCCTTATTTGCCCTTATATGTCCTTATTTGTCCTTATTTGTCCTTATTTGTCCTTATTTGTCACTATGGTTTTCCCTTGGTTTTTCCATATTTTTTCCTTTGTTTTCCTTATTTTCCCTAGATTTTTCCTAATTTTTCCTTAGTTTTCATTTTTTTCCTAGATTTTTCCTAATTTTTCCTTCGTTTTCCTTTTTTTCCTTGATTTTCCTGATTGTTCATTAGTTTTCTTCTTCCTAGATTTTTGTATGTTTTTCAATCGTTTCTGAACCTTCCTTATTTTTCATCAGATTTTCCATTTTGCAGGATTTTCATTTGTTCAAGTTTTTTTGGTGATTTTAAACAATACATGTCAATATTCCTTTCTTTGCCTATTCATTTTAGTATAATTTCTTATGGTTCCTTAGTTGTTCTCCATATTTTGCATTATTGCTGCATCAATGAATCAACAAATTCCTTTTTTTTCTCGTATTGTTTCCTAGATTTTAATTTTCCACTAATGTGTGTGGTTTTGATTTTCATGTCCATGTTTCTTGTTTATACATTTTTGCTTTCATGCAGTCTTCCCTTTTCAAGTTTAACCCTCAGTGTTCTTGACTTCCAATATTTGGGTCTTTGGCTGTTTACTGATTACGTGTTTTCTGATTCTGCTTGTTTATGATTGTTTGTGGTTTTCTTTGCTGTGATGATTGTTGTTGTGGCTCACAAAGAGTCACAATATTTCAAGCATCATATTTACCATTGTGTGTTACTCATTGTTTCCCTTTGTGCATGTTTGAGCTTTCCCTTGCGTCGGCAATAACATTTTGCATTCTACAATTAAAGTTCTTCATTGTGGACAGACCTTCCCATTAAATTACAATTCACAAAACATTGTATATATGCCCAGTTAATCAAAGATTCATATATGGTCAGCATCTCCAGCAAATCCTCCTGTCCTGATTACGTTCAGATTCTCAAATTGTTCTCAAATTGAGCCATTTTGATCAAGACGAAGACTTGCAGTTTAGTAGTAGCAACCCCCCAGTGTTGACATGGCAAGTGACCTTTCCCAGCGATATGGAGCCAATCTTGTGCCAGAAAAGCATGAAGATTTGCAGATTCGACCTCCTGAGTCCTGCAGTGTTCAGCACGGCGATTCTCAGACCAACATCGCTGACAACATTACGCCCAAGTTTAATGAGGTGAAACTGGGTGGTAGTGAGGTGGTGGCCATGGGGAAAGATTCAACGCCAACCACAGCAGGTTTCCAGGTTCGTGGATGTGAACCTGATCCTTTTACCACACCCCCGAGGAGAACCAAATCAGTGAAGAGCCCTCCTACACATGCTGAGGTTGCAGAGGTACACATGACGCATAGTAATTCATCCGGGAAATCAAAAGATTCCTTTGACTCCTACAGCTCAAATACGAGCTGCACATCCAAAATTGAATCAATCCAGCTTCGATTGGGTCACAGTGGGACGAAGAGCCTAGCACTCCCACATGATGATGCCATGACCCCTGACATGAAGGTGGATTGGAAGAGGGCCTTGTACTCTCAGCCTAGGAACACCGGTAAAGATCATGACGACAGTTTGGTTGAGACAGATGCTTTGACAAGCAAAGCCCTCAAAGTACGTCGCACCAAGTGACGTGTTTATCTTAGCCAAGTGAATGGTCCTAGATAATTTCTCAAATGATTGGGTTGGTAGGCCACTCAAATCTTCATGGTGGATGTGTTTTTTTAACTATGATCCAAATAGTTCCTAAAGAAAATTCTCTCAGATGTTATTGATGACTTTACTGCCGACCCTGCCCAATCAAGGACCTCGAATCGAACAGTGCCCCGCTGGCAGTCAGAAAAGGTGCGCACTATATAATAACTGGCATTTGGCAACCTGTAAGACATTGTCAATCAGATTATCAGATTGGGAACCCCTTGCATCCATTCAAGAGATTTTTTCAATCAAGCCAATGTCATACATTATCATGATATTAATATTTCCCAATTTATGATTTGATTCATACTGAATCCCCACTGAATTAACTATGATAAACGAATGGGACTTTTCTCATATCATGGTGATCTTTGTTTGGTCCCAGTAATCAGTAGCCAACCTGCTGCTGCCCTTGTCCTTGTCACTGTCTTGCAGGACGCTTGAAAGACATTGAAAAGAAATCCGATCCTGAGCGAGCTGAGCAGAGGCTTCAGGACCAGGACGAGCGTGGTCGGGTTGCATGATCACTTATATATTTCATTTAAAGTCAAAACAGACCTCTTATCCCAATCAATGTCAAACACTTTTATTAGAGGTATTGTTTGTTCATTGGCTTTTCTTTAGGTTGAATCGACCAATGCTTGCAGTAAAGTTCAGTAGCAGCCGGTGCTAGCACAGGAATGGCCAATGCTGAAATGCTTGGCATTTCTAGACTGCCTGCATCACCGATTCACCCATGCCTGACATGCAGTCAATAGTTCACAACCTCCAAACTATATCATAATTCTGTTCTGGTATCTACTCGTAATTTAATTAATTAGTAACTGCCAGAACTGAACTAGTATTTGCGAATGGGTGAACAGCCTGATTCAACGTCTGATGGGCTGACTGGTGTTTTCTTTTGCTGCTACACTGCATCGCCACCAATTCAGAGATCAAAAAAGGCTCCTTCAGTGACTGTCTGAGTGTGATGACTCTACATACAGACACGCAGGGACACACGGTCACACAAACACACAGGGACACGCACACCCACACACTGTGACACCTAGCCTAGGCGTGGTGATTCTGAAAGATCGGATGATGATGATGATGATGATGATAATGATGCTGATGCTGGTGGTGATGATGATGAGGATGATGAGAGACATTCAATTCTTAGACACTGATAGTTTTCTGCCGCAAATATTACCGAAAATTAACTGATGTTTTTTGGTGTTTTTTTGATGAACATTACTGGTTCCAGCTCGTTGGGTTAGACTTGATGGCTGATGATTTGATGGTGATGATGGGGCCCTGCAGAGAAAGCATCCAACTCGCAAGCCAAGGCACTACCACAATGGGCGTGTGAAGCCTCTCGGTTGACTTTGCAGTATCTTGGCATTCCTCAGGGAATGGCTGGGTGGGCAAGTCCTGCATTTGGTTTCCAGCTTGGCTTGTGGTTTGATTCATGATTAGTTTCAAAAAACAAGTTCATATTTGGAAAGATTATATCATGCATATTGAATTGATGTTCAGCTCACTATTATACTATTCAGTGAGTTCAATCCTAAAGCATTGCTCCAGCCCAGGAACGTGGGAATTCAGGAGATGGAAATGGCTTCGGAGCTGTCCCAGAAAAGCAGGAAAACCATCTTCGGTATGATTGATCCTTGGCTCAAGGGCCGGGCGTGCGTGGCGTTTCAAAGTCAGCTTCACGGAGTCACTGAGTGGTGTGACACTGTAATCTGTGGTCAGCCAATCTCCAAATTAATAGTTTTTGTCCCTGCAAAAAAGTTTGTTCCATCCATGAAATGGGAATAATCATTGTTGAGCTATCATGCGCACACATAACACTATATATATATACACACAACTCATGAACAACACTAAAACTTTAAAATATAATATACAGAACTCATGACATGACATTGTCGTTCAAGAAGCAGTGACGGTAGACGCAGCATCACTCACGCAGTGAAAATAGCAATTGGGCAGCCTAGGCAGTGGTCAAAGGGCTACAGCGAAGTATGATGAGGATTTTCGGGAATGGTCTTGAGATCTTCGTACCCCAAGTGCTTCTGAAGCCCGGTGATGACTTGAGTTCTGCCCGTTTGGAGCCATCAACTGTTGAAGAGCGGCCGTTGCTGACAGCTGCCCCTTGTTTGTAATTTCAAAACTGTTCATTTTTACCCAACAAAAAACATCAGTAATATAAATCAATATTATACCCATCATCAATACTATACCAAACAAGCGCCCGAAGACTTTGGGAAGAAAAAATACCATGTTTACCACCCAAAGTCCCGAGACCAAAAATACGAAACATGAGCATGTTGTCAACATAGTAGGGTATGGTCACCAGTATGATGGTCTATATTTTTTCTCACCCCTTCAATCTCCAACTAAGTCACCTGATGAAGAATCATTACCCTTCAAGAGTCTTTGGGCCCTGGCTTACAATGCACACCTTCGAATCTATATAGAGCCCGAGTGCCTCCACTGCCAGTGGAATGACCTTCGCAATAGCTTCAAGAGGGCCGACTTCCAGCCGGCATTGCTTCTTGGAATCGTCCTGACCCAAATGGCACACGGGCCATTCGGTGGTGGTGGTCATCAATGGACTCGGCAACAAACAGCTGAGATTATGTCAGAAACAATGTCGGATGGTGATTTCCAGGCGTTGAAAGAGGCAATGCTCAATGACCGATATGGTGATAGTGGAGAAATTCCTGAAACACCACAGGATATCCCAGAACTCAAGTCTGTGGCTTCTCTACCCATCTTTGTTCCTCAACGACATTGCCATTTTTATTATGTTCATGCGGTATGAATCATCCAACTGAAAAACTCGTAGTAGTTATGTTTGATCGGTCTTATTTAATTTTCAGTGTGTTGGGCAAAAATAATTGAAATTGGGATGATGCCTTTGAATGTCTGTCCGTCCAGTCCGGTCCCATTATGTTCAGAGTTCACCCCCTTCAGCCCAGGCGAAAAACAAGAGCTGGTTTCAGGCCGTTATTGCTCTTTATCGGTTGGCCCTTGACTGGAGTTTGAATGGTTTGATTCTTGGAAGAGCTGCTGACTTGACCTCTGGAAACGACTGGGAGCAAGACGGGCAAGACGTGCCTGTTCTAGAAAATAGCGTGTTTTCAAAATTATTTATCATATCCCATTTGTGTTTTCCTAAATGAAATAGTCAGGCCAAGGGACCCGATACCACTAATCCCTGACTAGGGGCCTATCTGCACTGAGGATGATGGTGAGCAGGCACATGACCAGCAGGTTGTTGATGCTGACGCACCACAGCATGCCCGTCCTCAAACACGGAAAGAACTTGATGATCTGAAGGGGGGATTCAAAAACAAGTTGTTGATGGCCCATCACTACCACCAAGACCCGATGCTACCACTGGAGTTTAAAGCTATGTATTGGGCAGCCCTCCCGCTTCTCAAAGAGTACTCGGACAATCTTGATACCCAGAAGAAGGGTCAGGACTGCATTGCACTAGTTGAATGTTTTGGGACGGGACCAATATGTTTTTGAATTCTTGGGGAACTATTCCGATATATCATCATCATTGTTCGGGACAAATTTCAACATAAATAAATGACATGTGCTGCAGTAATCTCGTTTGATTCATTTCCACACCGGTGTCACGCATATACAAATGATAATAAGTCAGCCAAAATCAATGAATTCACATAAACCTACATAAACTATTGAACACACAGTGCATGAATCGTTTGCACATTGGGACATTGTGTGACAAATTACGTACATTACATTTTCTACTAGATTCCATCATTACATGAATGAGTTTTGTTTTAAAAAAACATACGTGCAGTGGAGTGCATCATTTATAGGTTGGTGACATATTCAAACACCTACAGACAGACAGACAGACAAAGACAAAGACAAAGACAAACATGCATACATGCAGACATACAGACAAATAATAATTATCAATCATACATACATGCATACATATGTTTTGCTTCGTAGTTTCAATACAGTATAATATAGCTGCACTGCTGTCACAGTCACATATCCGATGGTAGTTCAAAAACACTGTATTATGTTATATACTGAGTAGTATGTTGTTAGAGATTTCCCAGGAAGAAACGCTCCGATGGAGAGCTTCTCGTGCAAGGGGACACACATGGTGGCCGACAGTCATTGAGACCATGTGTTCTATCCATGACCCGGAGACGATGAAGAGATTGCATATCTCTTTGAACCGTGGATCTGGACCAAATGTCGGTAGACCCAATGTTGAAGTGGACATCTTGACTCAGTATGCGAAGCTATGCATGGAAATTTGCTCTGCCAGGTGTTGGAGCCAATGTCAGTATTGCATTTGCATTCCCAATGCATTTGCCTCCGTGCACCACTCTGACACGGGTGAAAGAGAAAAAGGGTTGAAACTTGTTCAAAAGGTGTGGAACGCAGTCCTGCAGGCCGAGGAAACTCTGAAGGACGACAGGCTCGATGCCGGTGTCAAGGATGCCTTGGAACAAATCATGGCTCACATGAGCTGGCATAAAAGCCAGGTTGCCAGAGAGCTGTTCCTAGTATGTGAAGCTGGTGGCTGGCGTTTTTCAGACCAGCAGATCAGGCAGCTTGGGTTCTATCTCTTTAGTCCTCCTGCCAACAGCAAACATTTCCTCGAAGACACCTTCGCCCATCTTGCTGATATTTCAAAACGGATTGGGCGCAATTTGAAGATATCCAAGAAGCTCAACTGAAAATCATTGTGGGTCCTTAGGGGTTATATATGTCTTTTAAACTGAAATAATTATGGTGCACCCTGGTTTGCAAGTCCAGCCGGGAAGTATTTAGCCGGTCTTTGTCCAATGTTTTGATTTTATCACAGGAAAACTCTGTGGTCTACTTATGTTTAATCAATCCTGCATCAGTCTGAGGTGGACGAAGTTCTTCTACATGCTGTGCGTCCCCTCACACAGTGACCTGGATTGGCCCAGATTAGAGCCTAGCCCTGCAGACTTTGTTGACGCCATGAAAACAGGTGGCCGTGTGGTTCTAGAAGAAGACACCCAAAAAGGAAAGGTATTCACGGTTCCCAAATCAATGACCCTGCCAAAAGCCCTCAATTTCACGGTGAGCAACTTGCAGAAGGTTGACCGCAGTGCCGGCACTGCTGCCAATCAAAGAGCGGCAGCGGCCACAGCATGGATTCTTTCCAATGCTGCTTCCGGATTTATCCATGGGCCGATGGCGTGGACAGGTGAGATGTTACCAAAAGTAAATAAAGAATGCCGAAATCTAAGCTGATATACACACAAGAATAACCATGTGTTTTGATTTATGGTACTGTTACTGATCTGACAAATTTTGCATGTATATATTTTGGATACCCTATGATTCATCATCATTGATTCATTCATTAGGGGTTCCCAAATCTTCTGACCCCCAAGGTGCTCTCTTGCTGAAGCGTCGGATCTACAAGAACACTGCTGGTAAGGCTTTTGTTTGCCTGGGATTCCAAACATACGCAGCAATTGGTTTTCCTTTGGAAACCAAACGTGTTGGTGACAAGGACAGCTTTTGTTATGTTTGTGACACCAACCAAAATATGGGCCGTCGAAAAGTGGTTAGACCCCTTTAAGTAACTGGATTACGCAGTTGGGTAAACTGGTTTACCCCTGGGTGTCTATAAGACGGGTTGGATAGCACTTATTCACCCCAAATATTTGGTGGGATTTGTTTGGCTAGTTTCAATGGCGCAATGGGATTTACAATGGTTGTGGTTACCCAAGGAGTTATACACACATATATATATATGATTACATATGAATTATGCCACACAAGACGTTCAAGGAATTTAAGTGGTAACTGGTAACCCCAAGTATATTATTATATCATACAAACTATGATTGGGCCAGGATTAGGCAAGGGGATTAGACCCCCACAAATTGGACAAAGCTGGATTGGGCAAAATGGTATTACATCTCATTTTTTGTGATTATGAAATGCCATAATATTTTTTGCTGAATCGGGGCAGTGTTATTGTTTATATGTAAAGGTGCTAATAAAGATAAAACAAACATGTTGCATTGGTTTAGCTGCAGGAATACCTGGTGGCACTTCGGGACAACATGTCACTCTCAGTTTCCTTCACGTGGATGATGAACAATGAACTTGACATGGGTGAAGCTGGAAAATGGAAAATGGTCCCAACCACTATTCGAACACCTTCCGAGCTGCCGGATGTTTTGAGGTCACATGGGAATGCATGGGAGGTCACAGGTGCCCCCCAACCACTACTCAAAAGTGCCGTGAAGGAAGGGGTGTTCCTCACTGTCAAGCAACTGGAGCTCATCCATAGCAAGCTGGGATTTCCCCTTCCCGAAAAGGGGCAGGGATCAGGAAAATCAGGAGCAGTTATCAAGGTGGACATCGCTAAAGGGTTGGTAGAATTTTTGTGGGGTGAAGAAACCCCTGAAGAAAAAAAACGCATGGTGGATGCCATTTGTGGAAAACTATTGACGAAAGTGAAATGTGCCAAAGATGTGATCCTTGCTGTGAAAGAACTTGGTGCCCAGGGTGAAATAGATTTTGCGGATATCCATCAGGTGGCTTTAAATCAGGAACGCGTGGAGAAAGAACGAAAGCTTCGATCTCCGACTGAAGATCGTGAAGAGATAAAGACCTATACCCCGGGAGTTCTCAAGCATCTCCTTCCAAATGTTCAAGGGGTTTCATGCAACAGGAACCCAATCCTTTCTCGGTACCAAGCTCATTACCCTGGATTCTAGTCCTTGAATCAGAAGGGTGTTATTAATTTATTGGTGTTATAATTTATCCCCTTCTAAAAACATCAAAATAGTATGATCTCCATATACATATTGCACTTTGTCAAAGTCACTGAATGGTTTTTTCCTAGGACATGCAGCTGGTTTCTTGGATTCGAGAGCAGCTACATGGGGTGGGAGCCTCCGTGGCCTAAGTGAATTTGAAGCTCTGAAGGAATGCTTGATCAACTTCATTTGGGCCAAGCACCAGGTCCTATGTCCCATGGATGACTGTTTGAACATGTGGCCAGTCCAAATTAACAGTTTCTTACTGGTTCAGCTGACCCGTTTTTTATTCTATTTTATTGTTTTGTTTCTGCAATGCAACATTAATCTGGGTGAAAAAGGGTTATATATTCTGAATTCAGCCTACTCATCTGAGGCCAATAGATGACCAAATTCGAAGAGTGGTTTCTTCCTTTGATTCCGACACTGGTTTTTTGCCAGGTGCTGCCCCAGCTTCAGCCGCCAAAGGTGGCAAAGAAGGCAGAGGAGGCAGAAGTGGCAAGGGGAAAAGCAAATCCCCGGCCCCAAAGGCCGTACCAGTACCAAAGAGAGGTCGTGGTCGTGGAAAGGTGGGTCCGGGACGGTAAGTTATTAAACCGTACATACTACCTATATATAATTATATATATATACATATACATAGTTAGTCAGTTCAATCAATCAGCGCTTTAAAAAGTGTTTTGCTTTGGTTCTGAAACTGTCCCTGATCCCAGTGCAGTGGTTTCACAGTCACATGTGGCCAAATTGCCTGTTAATCAGATCTGGCCGTGTGATGAGTCGAAAGGTGGAAAAAATCAAAGTTGTCAGGAGAGCTCATTGCAGTTAAACTAGTTAGAGTACCCGCACTACGGTTCACTTTACCTGCAATGTTATCATGTCATCCCCAAACAGTGGCATAAAGAATCAAACAGGAATATATTTGGGCTTAGAGTAAGATCCCACTTCAACACACCATCAATCAAATGATTTCAACATAAAAAAAACATGTTGATTATCATCATTTGTCACTATTTGTCATTATTTGTCGTTAAATGCCACTCAAATTGCAAAGAATCTCACGTATGTTCAAATGCCCTTATTTGCCTTTATTTGTCACTAAATGTCCCTTAAATGCACTTATTTGCCACTAAATGTCCCTTAAATGCCACTATTTTTCAATTACCTTATTTGTCACTATTTGTCCCTTATTTGCTCTTATTTGACCATGGGCTCCTTTTGGGGGGGCTCGAGTTGGGACCATGAACAAAGTTGAAAAACAAGGGGGTTATATGTATCGGTATAATTGTGGGTGGAAAATGTGGACATAGGCCCAAAACAAACTGACATTGAAAACCCGTAATGTCGCAACCGGGTGCGATATCCTTCCGTCAGCGGCACTGAGGTGGTACTGAACAGCATGTGTTTAAGGGCGGCTCTGACGTTTGAAGGGGTCTTTTCTGAGTGGATTACCTGCTGAATATTTTGGGTATTTTGTTGTGTTTGCCTGCAAAAAGTCTTCGGCTTTTGCAGAAGCAATAAGTTTAAGATCTTTTTCAAAACCTGGTCGCTCGAAAGATGCACGGACTTGTTGGAGCGTTTTGATTCTGCGTAGCAAATCTCCAAAGATGCAAGCGAACTCCGGATTGTCAAATCTGCTCACTGGTTTAGCACAATACGGCGCAACGTCATGTTCACAATCATACTGCATTTCCTCCCTTTGCATGAGCGCTGCAAAAATCTGTTGGTATGTTACTCGGGGATTAGGTCTATTTGAAAGGTTGGGGACGCAATCGCCGTACATAAACTCAACAAAACAGGAAGGAAATGTTTCTGGGTGGAACGCCGACAACACACCTGTGCTTGGAATGGCAAGGGCGTCGACATGGATGCAATTGTTATTGTTGAGCAACCCTTGCGCTAATGCGTCCAATTGATTTGTATTTTTCAACCATTTACGGACACTGTCCTGCACATCAACGACAAGCCGCCGACAAGTTTCTTCCTGCCCCACACGCCGCACTGCAGCTGTGACATCGTCCCATGAATCACATTGTGCACCAGCAGCAGTAAGTTTGGGCAATTCTTTTTGCAGCAATTCAAGTTTCTTTTTCATGGCTTCAAACATTTGCACAGGTTTGGGATCTTGAAAGTAGTCAAGTCCGACCATTCATTTTGAGCACCAGTTCCCGTGTCATGGTCAGTGGGGGCATCCTGCAGACCATCACTTTTGGCATCAGCATTATCTCCGTCAGCTGAATCAAGGTCCAAATCATCAGCTGAATCAAGGTCCAAATCATCAGCTTCATCGCCCGCAGTTTCCTGCTGAATTGGCAAATCTCCGGGTCCAGTTTGTCGATTCATAAATTTTGCTTCAGGCATGCTGGCTGCGTGATTTACAAATTGATCTGGCACTGCATCCACTGGCAAACGTTGCACCTCTGAACGATCTATTTGAACATCAAAAAAGGACGGGCAGACCTTTTGACGTAGTTCCAGGCACTGGAGGAATTCTGCACGGTTAACGGTTAAAGCCCGGCACTGTCGAACTTCGTCCACTGATTTACCAAAAAAATCGCTAGTGTATCCAGCAATTTATTTATAGATGGCAAAATCTCAGTTTTTGCTGCATGGGCTTGGGCGACCAAAATTGTGTTACCAATGAGGCCTTTGTAGGATTCACTGGAACAACCTTGTCCGAGAAAAATTTGCCGCATGACAGGCCTTCCCTTTCCTAGTAATAACTTCGTGCCAAGACTCAAGGTTTGAAACTGTGGATGCTCTCGCCCCAGCCAAAACCCATTAGCAATGGCCATCGGCGGCATCTGCGGATGCTCTGTGCAGAGATGCTCTACACAATCCCTGCAAGCGTAGCAAATTTGATCTTCTTTCGCGACACCGCTTGAAAAAACTTCGCTGTGCTTGCGGTTGGGAACATCTTTTGGGACTCGTCGAGAATGAAGCAACCAATGCATCGTGGGATGCCTGGGATGACGTACTGAAGATGCATAGAGCTCTTGTTTGGGAATATGGGGCCATAATTTAGAATAATGCTGAACGCCTAAGAGTGCATCAATTTTTTCGGCAGGCCCCAAGCAAAATGTTCGTCCATGCACAAGCAGCCCGTGAGTTGCAGTCTGTGCATCAACTTCCTTGCCACCTTCAGTCATAGGATCCCTGGTTTTGTGATAGTTAAACTTAGTCATGGTAGTCATACCCGTAGCTTCTTTGTAAAGGAAAACTTCGTACCTATGTTCTAAGTAATCACGCACGGCGCAAAAAACACAAGCTTCCAGTCCTCGAGGCACAGCTGATGCAAAGGCGTTGTTCACCCAATCGTTGCTGGAGACATTGGGTACAGGATGAGAAAAGAAAAATGCAAAATTTTGTATCATGGACCTCTTAACCCATGGGTAGAGAGGTTTGTGGCCCGCCCTTTGGGCTTAAAAAAAAAGGCGTTTGCGATATTCGGCGTAATTGCCATGTTTGGCCGCACAATGGCGCTGAAGTGCTTCCATGCTGACTAATGACTGGTGGCACAGCTGACACGTCACAGGTGCTGGCACATAAGCAACATCTGCCATATCGGGGCTAAAGACGGAAGAAACATGCGAAGGAATGCTGTGCATGGCTAAAACTTCGTTGGAATGAATGTCAACTCCTGGGATATAGGTTTTTTTTGGCGACAGTGCCGGACCCCATGCAGTGACACGCAATGCTTGCTTTTCAGAAACGAGTTTGTGATGGAACACACAAAGTGTAGACAATGTTAAAAAAATGTAAAGATTGTGGTTTCACACTGTTTTTTCCAAGGAAGTCAAACGTCTCCTCGACCAATTTCTCAATGTCAGGCTCGCTGTGGCCACTCCCGCCAAGGAATCGTTTGTTTGCTAAAAGATTAAAATCATCTTCTTCCAAACGCTGTCGGACTGTCAGCTGCAAAGAATCGTTGGTGGATTCGATCATGCAAGGGACACTTCGAAGTTCTCGTTGCTCCTTCACTAGCTGGTGCAAAGCTTCGATTATAAGTGGCAAGTCTGTATAATTGATGGTAACTCAATCAAAGCCAGGTGTCTTAAGAACTGCGAACTAGATGGTTTGGCAAAAGGCGGAAATCCATGGACGAAGCCGAATGGAACAAGCGGGCGGTTCTCTTGCAAAGCGTTCACAAACTCCGAAAGTTTCGTAGGCATGAAGTCATGAGTAGCTATGTCTGGCTATCCAACCCAAGGCAGCAACTCTCTTGCATAACTGCAGCGCTAAGCTCATAGTGCAAAAACTCTGCTGAAAACCTGTGTCTGCAAGACTTGGTCGTCAAGCGCATAGTAAGGCCGGCAAGATTCCACCAATCACAATCTTCTCGCATTTGTTTTGAAAGGCTTTGGTCTGCTGTGATTGGAGGCAGCAAATAAGCGTTTTCGGATCCGCATGATGTTCGGAAAGCTTTCCCAGCCGGTTCCATTCTGCAAACAAATCCTGTTTCCACCAAATTTTTTTTCTTGTTTCTTTAGTCGAGCAATCCTGTTGCACCACAAGTCCTGTCTGCTTCTGTGACAATAGTTGCTGTAGAATGGATGGTCTTTTTGCGGGGCTGCTACTATTGGAAAAAGAATGCAACCAACTTGAGCGACAGGCATCATCGCAGTCCAGTGCACAGACCGATGCATCAAGTGCGAGTGTCTTCTGTCGGTTGTTTGGCAAACATTCTAAGACCATTGCACATGAAAAGGCATTGCTGTTTTCCAAGTATAATGGTTTGTCATGGCAGTTTCAATTGAAAGAGCTTCAGCAAAGCCTCGGTCCAAAAGGTCACAAACCGTTTTTTTGTGTTATCAACAGTTTCTTGTTGAATTCGTTCCCAGGTTTTACGAGCAACACATGGTTTGATTGATATATTTTTTCTTTTTTCAACATGCTGGGCGAATTTTTTTCTGAGTGCGACTGTACCTTTCCAAGGCGCTGTAAAGACTGCTGCTTCATTTCTGCAAGTTTTTGACGTGACAAACCCCACTGGAAAAGAAGTCTGCGCCACTGATTCACATCCTTCTGCGCTGGTACCTTCAGCCATAAATGAATGAAAGTTTTCAAGTTGCCTGACTGGGTGCAGTTCAAATACTCTGGTGAGTGTCGATAACTGCCTTTGCCTTTTCAAACGTTGCAATGCACCTGGCACATATCGATTAGATATCGTGGGAGCATTTGCTCCAGTCTCCCGCCATGTAATTGCTAGGCCTGTCACCCCGCAAATCTCCAGCCAGACTTGCGTTTCGCCAGCGGAAACAGCGAAGCAAACAGCAAAGCACCAAAAACAACAAAAAAAGGGGCCAGAGCCCAAACAGAACACCCACAAAATCGATTTGCCAGGGGACGCAGTGGCTTGTCCACTGCATCACTCTCAAAAACGTGCCAATGAATTAAGAATCACGGCATTCGGGCAAACATGAAGGCTTTTAGCTTGTATGTCTACTCAGGCATGTGCCAAGCTGTACAAGAAAGCAGGGCTACAACTTATGCCTCTCTCAGCGTCCTCTCAAATCAGCTTGTCAGAGGGCCTCCATGGACAGAGTTGTCACCATATCTGTCAGCCGTGAGCACGAGGCCGTGATGCTTT